CAAGGGCAGGACACCCAATATATTTCACCCTTTCAGGGGCCCCGTCCTGAAACAATATTCTTTCCCCTATACCTGGCCCACCTAATCTGAGCCAACCTCCCCCCATAAACCTGTCTGTTGAGCCAATCAGAACCTTGATAGCAATACCTTGATAGCAATGCCTTTTTTCCTTCCCACACAAAACTCATGATGAATCTTCAACGAATTAAATGCTACAAAAAAACAAACAAAAAAAACACATTAAAAAAAAAACGCAAGTGTGAACTAAATCTGAAGTCAGCCAAGACACTTTCAGGTTTGAAGTACCACACCAAGAAGGTGATAGGAGGATCCTTATTTCTTCTTTGTGTTTCTAGTGTAAAAAAAAAAGAAGGGGGGTATATTTATTTTATTATAATCTTTTCTTTTCCTCTAAACACACCCGTGAGGGGAGGAGAGGAGCAGTCAAGGGGCACGTAAGGGCATGTGATGTTGGGAGCCCTCAGAAGTACATTCTCTGAGATGCGGTGGATGAAGTCTAGAGGCAAGGGTCTTGTTAGCCACACTTGAAGCCTTATCAAGTAAGACGAGGGGTGGATGTTTGGTTGGGTTCTGATACCCTCTGACCCCCAAGATGAGCATTTCGACCCTCGGTCATCATCTCCTCCCCCTGGACTCTTGTGCCATCTGGCCACGTGTCAAGTCCTCTGGCAGATGGAGTCACCATTCTCGCAGACCCACTGGGTCTTTACTTCCTGCGAGACAGTGGAGGCTGGGCTCCAGATGTGGGTTTGGGCTGCTGCTGTCTCCTCACTTGGGCCAGGATCTCCTGGATCTTCCTCTGGGCCAGCTACAAGGAGAACATGTTGAGTTCATAAAGGATCCAATTACACCCTCATGATTCCTCATGCTCAAGTCCACACTTCTCAATATGTAATGACAAATGAAATTGTGTGCCTCTGGGGAAACTGAGGCCAGAACTTGCTTTCCCAAGGTACTGTTTTCTTTATAAAAAGACCCACCTGGCATGCAAAGAAGTGTCCGCTGATCTTTACTATAACCTGGTCATTCTCATCAGGCGTCTGGTCCCTTGGCACCACCACCTCTGCGCATGTCAAGTTCTGCAGCTCATTTACCTGCAGCCACCAGAGAGAGACCACACTGGATAGCATTCAGCTAACTAGGAACATTCTAGCTTGGGCTTATCAAGCACTTCTGTCCTTGTTTACCGTTTTTCCACCCTTCCCAATGACTCGTCCAGCAGCAAAGGAGGGAACCTTTATGTGAGCCTCTAGTTTAACCTCTTCTTTAGGTCCAAAGAAATTTTCTTCCTTCAGCTTGCCAAAGATGCGACACTGAGCCTGGAGCCAAACAGATCAGAGTACAAATTATTCACACCACATTTTTTTCCAGGAAAAAAAAAAAAACCCTTAGAATAACATTTCTGTACTGGCTGTTAGGAGCTATACTATTAATAAAACTAAATCAAACACTTGCTGCAAAATATCCCAGGACTAGCCAACAGCTGCCACCATCAGCCTCAACTATGTGGGTCCAATCTTTTATTTCTACCAACAGTGTTGCATGTCACCAACACCTTAAACTGAGCCTCTGGCGGTCCAACGATGATGACCATCCTCTGTTTGGCATCCATTCCTTCTGCAGGGGCAATCTGAAGAAGGCAAACAGTAAGCATAAAAAACAAATAAAATAAAACAGGAATCTTCATTTATACTTCCAAATCAGTGGCAAGAGGAAGACAACTAGAATCAAAACATTATCACTAAGATTGACAATCTGTATGTCGCTCACCTTGATTGAAGCTCCGGCAAAGTGCGACAGTTGTTTGATGTGCTGACCCTGTTTTCCGATGATGGCTCCCACTGCAAGAGCAGGGATGAACAGGTGAACCGTCTCCGACTCTGGGTGTCCCTGCTGGGTATTAACACTTTAGTACTACATTGACCAGGAGAGAATAATACAGACCATAACTGCAGACCACTTGCTGAGCTGCAGTCACAAACAAGCCAACAGTGGATCTAATAAAAGCTATATAAATTCTTCAAGCTACATTAGAGCTCATTTGCGCCACTAGAAATCATCAATTGGTCCAAAGTGGTCCGTCTGTCCTGTAGTAATACAGATGCTGTCAGGTCCACTGGGACTTGCACCACTGGGTTCTTACTCAGTTCTGATAAAGTGCACTGTACATCACCTAAGAGACTCAGTTTTTATACTGATCACATAAAACAATATTTAACATCTTAGCAAATCTGAGTTGTTGCAAACCACAACGCTTGAGTTAGCAGGCATGGACGGATAAGATAAATGGGCCCCTGGGCACAGACATGTTAAAAGGCCCCTACTGCTCCATTTCTAAAAGCAAGGCTCAGATTGATCAATCACAGGATGTACAACCAGTCTTGTTTCACATCTATTTTTAGCAATTTTGGGATAATTTTAACTCGTTTCTCTTGGTCATCATTGTGCCAGTTTTTTTTAGTCCTTTTTCATCTGTACACGTTTTATGATTCTGTAGTTTGGTGTATTTTGCATCTCATTTTGTGTAGTCATTTGACTGACTTTCCAACAGAAAGGTTAACGATTCCTTATTGGCCGTGTGGTCTAGGGGACCCCAGGCGTGTGCCTGGTAGGTCTGTTCACTAATCCATTCAAGGGGAGGTGGTTGCAACACCAGAGAGAATCAAGTAGCACTGTTGATATTGGATGGAGCCCAATATTCCAGTTAATGAGTTAAAGTGTTTATTTTGTAGTTTCGAAATCTAGAGAAATGCTTTACTCATTTGAAAAAAAGAAAAAAAAACTGCAAAAGGCATCATGTTTGGCCGGAGGGGTAAATAAATTAATTTGCTGAAGCCAAGGAGTACTAGTCAAACTGATGTTGCCCTCCAGGAGGAAGGCTGGTGGACAAGAACTTTGATGTAATCAAACCCTGCCTCCCAACCCTCGCAGCGAGCAGCCACAAGCCGTGCAAAGCACTTTGGGACGGGTGACTTACAGCAAGGGACTGGCTGCTCGCCAACAGCATAGAAGACCAAAACGGCCCCTCACCCCCATAGGGACTGTACTAAAGACAAAAGAAACAAACTAAATATCTGCTTTTGTTTTAAGCAACTAGCCTGACCCAACAGTTGAACAGCATTTAAAGAGAATAAGAACAAAACTAAAGCCAGTCCTGCATCTGTAATGACAGTCAGTGGGGTAAGCTACTGTACAGCATGCCTCACTTACTCCAAATGATGAGCATCCACCATGAGCTCCAGGAGGTGGGACACTGGACATGGAGGGACCCATGCCCGATGCACCACTGGGGAACAAACCCAGAGCGTTTAGATTCAAGCCTGGAATCAGGTTGGACTGTAGCTGGAGAGAAGTGAGAAATTTCTGTTGATACAACACACCAAGTTGTTTTCTAAAACCACTTCAATAATACAGTGCATCTGCCTATTCAACAGTACATTCAGGGGATTCTCCTCAGTGTAAACAGTCATATGCAGAGATTACGTCTGTGTACAAGACAATTCAGGAAAGATCAATGATGTACATGTAAACACCATTATCTGAGTCCCTTTTAAAAGCAGTTTCACATGGTTTCTTGATTATCCAAAATGGTTATTTTGTTGCACGTCATATTTGAAGCACCCAACTCAATGGAAACTTTCCACAAAGACTATTACAGAATTAACACTTTCCTTTTTGAAGAAGTTCTTTTTCCTTGATCATTAAGCACTAAAAAGACTTACGTTCATAGCAGCCATGTCACTCTCATATGATTCCCTGATTTTCTTCATCACCTCCTCCTCAGCTCTTGAGCATGCCTCAATGGAACCCTTCACTGTGATGGTCCGCTCTGGGTTGTACAGGGTCAGGTCCTGGAGCCTGGTCAAAACAATTACAGGCCATCAAAGTAAATTGTAAAACCACAGCAAATACTCAACCATTAAACATGGAATACTCCAAGTGGCACTTTTATGAAGGGGTGGCAAATAGTGTCAATGGAGAAAGAAAAACTGACAAATGAACTGTGTCAGCGTCAAACAAACAGTCTTACGGTGAGATTGTGATCTTGGTCCCAGTGTCCTGCTCAATTTTTTTCAGGTTGCGTCCTTCCTTTCCAATTAGTCTCCCAACAAAGTTGTTGTGTGCAAGGATCTTCAGTGGGATCTCCTCGGTACTGCACGAGAGAGATCAGATGTTAATTTAAAGCTACTGTCAGCTTAGGGAGCGACACCAAGCTGCCCAACTACTTTCAACTGTTAATCAAAAACACGAATAGTCCAACTTCATTCACATAAAATATTGCTGACCTGACCAAAGCTACCCTGCACTAAATCTCCCTAATGGTGGCCTTTTCTCATTTTTCTCTGGTGGTTCAGGGAGGATGCATTACCAAGTCCACTCGCTGTTCTTATTCTACATTTTCTACATCACATTTTCTCTCTCTCCCTTCCTTTTCTAAAATTGTTAACAAAAAAAAAAAAATAATAATTTCTTCAAATGTATTGCCAGAGTCTGTATAGAGATGAACCCACAAACCACATGCAACTTCCCTACATTCATCTGAAAATGTCTGGTGTCCATAGGTGAAGTGCTGCTGGTTTAGTACTCAATCCGAGATAGGAAAGAATATTTGCATAATCTGGATGAAGTTCATAATGCTACACTTATCAGTGAAGTGTATGTACTGCAAAACAGCATAGTCTAAACTGATTAAAACCACAAGTGGCTTCTGTCCAATCACATAATGAGGATTGCTCACATCAACACAGTTTAGTGTTGAATACAGACCGCAGTCACACCAGAGAATAAAGCCAGTTTAACATTTGATCAGGTGGACAGATGCAGCTTTATGTAAATTTGCCACCTTAGGAAAAGTGTTTATATGGCCCTGGAAACAAGCCACAACTTAACCCTGTGTGCGCGCATCATAGATACATTCCAGTACTTCAACAAATAGCACTACAAATCTCCTTGCATCCATGTCTTGTCACTGTACCATTTTGTTGCAGAAAAAAAAAAAAAAAGAAAAGTTTAAGATACTCTAAAAATTGTATTCAGCCACTAGAGGGTAAATGCTATAAGCAGTTTCTAATCCCTCCCAATACATCCTAACCTACAGATGCCTGGTTGTGACAAACTGTAGCCTCCAGTAGGAAGCCAGCGTTAACTGACCTCAAAGTCCACTAGGATGGGCTGGTCACTGCCCATATCACACAGAGCACTAACATTACATAAAGCTCGGATTATGCCAAAAGGTCACTAACATTACCAAAACAAAGCACAGTAGTTTTAGATGTCAACACATCCAGAAGAAAAGAACACATCTGAATCAAATCCGAGTCATTTGGCTGCTTTTAGTGCTCTTCAACTCAAAAAGCCAAACAGCTGGTTTTCTTTGTCCCAATCACTCTCTCTGGGAAAGAAGGCAACCTTTTTGGTCTGGCAGGCACAGTCTTTGACTTTCAACACAAGCCCTTTCTTGGCTAGCCGTTTTAAATGACTACTCGCAATTGGAAAAACACCTTATAACCTGTGCTAGTTGGCAGCTGGGGCTAATCTATACACCATTTTGACAGCTTCTCTACCCTGTAGAGAAGCTGGAGAGAGAAAAAAAAAACACCATCCAACTCACAACTTTGTGTCGAGGGCTTCCTTTTGCATGATCTCCATGATGGTTCTGCAAGCGCTCGAACAGCCTTCAGGTGTGGAGTGAATTGTGATAGGCTTTTCTGCTGCACCTGCGTTTTCTTTCCTATGGATGTCAATCCTGGAGTAAAGGAAAGAATATTTGAAAATTATTTAATGTAGCAAATTAACAGTACAAGCAAAAGAAAAGAACCGCTCATTTGCAATTCTCAGTACAATTCCTGACCTCTGTGTACGTACTTTGAGTGGGTCTGTTTGGTCATGTTGCGGATAGTGGCGCCCTCCTTGCCAATAATTGCACCCACAAACTGCGTTGGAACCAGCATGCGCAGTGGGATGTCTGACTGCACCTTGGGCCGGGCGCCCAGACTTGGAGAGCTGGAACGACGGGGGCCACGGGCGTTAAAGCCTCTCCTGCCCCCTGCAGAAGCACCCTCTAGTGCAGCAGTCTCATCTGGGATATAGGACACTTTCAAGGCATAGTTCTCCATCATAGATCCATTCAGCTTCTCCATAGCCCTAGGGGGCATAAAGAGGTATCAGTCTCTGGGTAAAACTGCTACTAGGAGACTTAAATAGCAGTCATGGAGTGAAAAGCTCAAACTAGCTTAACTGCCAAACCAATTTCTATTGAGCCAATCAAAGCTACAGGTGTGATTCACCCCTGCACCTCAGTCTTCTTTAACCAAAGAGGCAGAACCTAAAGAACTGAGACAAGAGAAAATCATGAAGCCCCAGGACAAGTTGAAATAGTTTGTGAGGTATTGGCATCACAGTCTGGCATGGTAACACCACACAGGCAGAGAAGAAGGCTCTTCAAAGGGTCATAAAGACTGCAGAGGGGATCATTGGGACTGAACTGCCTGCTATGGACACAATATACACCCATCGCTGTTGCAAAACAGCAGAGAACATAATCAGACACCAACTCCACCCAGCTCACACTCTGCTCAGACAAAAACTGCACCCACAACCTCAGGTACAGCACAGCGGACAGCATCATCACACACACAGAAGAAGACTTTACAACAGCTTTTTCCCTGCTGCAGCAAGACTGATGACAAATACAAAATGTGAAAAACCTGTGCAATAACTCATTACCCTACTAAGTAAAAAAAACATATACAGCTACACTATGTGCAATATTTGAAACTCCCCATTTTACCCGCCATCTTATTCCTGTATCCACAATTTTACCAACTATTTTGTATTCTTATATTTAGACTAGGTGTTCATTCTTTTGGCTCTAAACTCTTTGACTCCAGGAGAGCCCTGTACAAGAACTCCAATATGCATAGACTGTTTATGCATAAATGGCAAATAAAAGTCTTTCATCTATTGGGCACAAAGGACTGCAACAAGCCAAGAGGTCCTTACAAATCCCAAACAGTACAGCAGTGACCTAATGTCACTTGAGCTATAAGAAAGTTTACTCCAACCTTGCTAGCATTCACTTAATCCTCCCTTGCTAGCCTCGAGGTAGAAAAATAAATTGTCGAGACTTCCACAACCCCCCTTGCTGAGAACTACATTGTAGTATGATTCATGTACACCAGGGGGCACCAGATGGCTAATTTAATCCCCCCCCCCTCATTACTGCATGTCAAATTAAGCTAGACTTTTTTTGGAAGGAGGAAAACAGGTGCACTGTAAGAACAGTAGTCAGAAGGAGTAGATGTGATTTCCAGCAGCGAATGCTGTGTAAAGCAAAAAGCCTGAGCAGATCCATGTCAAAAATGTCAAGATAGACAAATTTGAGTCCAAGGATGTGAATACAGTATGTGTGTACACTCACAGCCTGGCTTGGTCCTTGGCTGCATATCGAACGTTGACTACTGCAGTCTCTGTCTCAGTGTTTACTGGTGAGAGAACACACAAAGCCAGTTCACTCACATGCACACACATTCAATAAGCATCACATTTTACCACCATGTACTACTTGAACAGTAATGTTAAACTACTTTGGAAATTCAGCAATGATCTTTATAATTAAAAAAAAAAAAATTTAAATCAGTCCAAGATGCATGTTGAGACAAAGTGGTGAAATTTGTTTCAAGCAGTCTTACAAGGCTAAAAAGAAAGTCCGCATTTACCTTGTTCACAGCTCTCTACTGTACCATACTGAGCGAGCATACTGTCCAAAACCTGAGAAAGAGAGAAGGCATGATTACTTGAGACTGACAGCTTTGACGAGAAGCTCATCTATGGGAAGTAGCCTAGCTCACTGCCAGGACACACTCCATTAATTCTGAACACCAGAGCTCAATGCTGAGCTACATGGATAATTTGCTGCTTTCATATAAAAGCCTGTTTACGTCACATTAAGACTCTCGCCTTGGGCCATTTACATGGAGCTGCAGGGGTTGGGCGAGTTTAACACGGTTTCACTTTTTCATTTTCCAAAGTACAACAAACAAAGAAATTAACACAACCTTCCAAAGAAATCTATACCAATCTAACCAGCTGCCCATATTTGGAGACTAAAGGATTTCAATTCATATATTCCAGGGGGAGCAAGGGTTCTAAGGTTCAGACCACATTCAGTCAAACCCAGGCCACGCCCCCAAGAGCTCAACCCCACTTTCTAGCCAACAAGACACTGTCCCTGCCCCCCCTACGTTACATCGACCCACCAACCAAGCATTCTCCCGCCTCCCTGCCATCTCAACTCCCAGCCATTGGCTACTCCAGGATTGACAGAGTTTCCTGAAGCCAACAGTTGATGGCTGGCTGCTCCGCCTGTCCATCTGTTGAGCCTGGCCAATGGGAATCCAGGCCATTCAGGAAAGGGTGGGGTACATTCCAGCAGGAAGCAATGGCTGGGGGAGGGGTGCAAGTTCATGCTACACATTCTGTGAATCAGAGCACATGGGAGGGAAAGGGAAACAGTCCAGGCCCACCCACTAACTACAGCTTTTGAATATGCCACTATTTTCTTGCTATAAGGCTACACACACACACACACACACACACACAGTTAAACATCTTATCTACCTGATAAGATACATACAATGCCTGTGCATAAAAAAACCCATTCCATTCTGTCCCCAATTCTTCTAACCCCTCCCCCTCTGAGAGGAAGAAACCTCCATGTCACCTTTTGAGAAAACAAAAACGGCTTGCTCGCTACATACTAGGAACATGGGTGGATCTGGAGCTGCAGTTGAGGACATGCGTAGGCAAAGCGAGCCCACCATTACAAAAACAGAGCCTTTATGTAGCCATTTGATCACAGCAAGTCCATCAGGCTGAAATCTCATGCCATGTTATTAACCTTACAACCAAACACTGAATAGTGCAATTTAATAGGAATTTCTCATTAGGCTTCCATAGTCTTTATAGAGCAGGAAACAGTCACAAATGATTTCTACAAAAAAACGAAACAAAAAAAAACAAAGTGTAATTTGCCCATTTTACAGTTGTCCAGAAATATGTACGTGCTCAGAGGATCAGTATGTAAATAAAGCACAATGTAGCACAGAATACCCAGGAGTTTTAAATTAACCACATGTAGAGAAATACATGCAATGTACGGACACAACGCACAAAGACTGTTGCTCAACACCGTCACTAAATCAAGCAGTGGCCTTGAAATCCGACCATGTTACAGCTCCCCATTTCTATTGGTATTGTTCATTTTTACATGGTAGCTTTGTGCTCATTAAACCTTTTAACGAATACAAAAAAAAGCAGGCTGCATCTGGGCTTTAACTTGAGCTTCAGCTCAAATCCTTTCTAAATACATTCTATGAGATCAGTTTGGAATGATCATGTCAGACAGGCTTTTCTGAAAAGTAAAAAAAAAAAAAAAAGATTTTGTGGGTGTATTTTTGCCTAAAATACAATGGTTCACTTTCAGCCTTAATTAAAAACCAAGCCAAATAATTAATAGTTTAAAAGGTTACCTATGTTGAAGGGTTTAAAGAGGATTAACAGAGAGTCAAGTTTCTATTTTAGAAAAATCATTTAATGTAGGACCCCTCTCTAACTTGGATATGAATGTGATGGAGACAAATTAATGGACCTAAAAACAGCACTCGTTAATGATTTAGCACTATTGTTACACATGAACATGTTATTCATGGAACTACAGCAATTTAAAGGAAACTGTGCCTTACAATGCATCTCCAATAGCATAAACCAGGTCCTCAAATTTCAGTTCAATTCACACTATACTCAAAACCCTGACAGATTGAGTATAGTATTTATTGCAGGGGTCAGTGTAATAAATTGCATTCAATTGTGCAAATGCCAGTTTTTTGCCAACACTATAGGTCAAGAACACACCGATGTGTGCATCTTAATATTGCAATCGTTTAATTTCTCCCTCATTTCTAGGCTTACTGTACGTAATAAACAAAGACAACACAGAACTACTAAATAGCCAAATACATAAGCAAATCAAGTCCTATAAACCATATAATGACTTGGGCTTGCAGCAAGGTCAACCCTCAGACAATACCGTTGGTTTATTTTTTACTTCATATGCATATGCCCCCCCCCCTTCAAGAAAACAGTGTGAAACCAGGTTTAAAACTAGCACAGGTCAGTGTTAAGAGGCATGGCAGGACAATTAAGTTACATTTACTACTTAAGCACATCCAAGACTGTGTAGCTAAAGGATTAATTCAAATCAACTTTCCGCTTTCTCAACACCTTAAGAACACGCCTAGTGGCTAACCTACACATGCAGGACCATAATGCTCAAAACAGCACAATGCTTGCACAATCCCTTAACATTTTTTTGAAGCATCTTTATTTAATAAAACCTTAGAACCTATCCTGCTATTCCAAGTTCAAGGGGAAATGCTTTGTAAATAACTATGCAATCTTTACTGTCAGATTCTCACTGATATTAGCAATAATTAGGTTTGAAATGCAGCCTTTTCCCAGTGAATCATCAAGCACGTGCTCAATTGAAACCCAAAGGGGTGACTGGTAATTCAAGAGGCTACTAAATGAGAGCTCAGTTGGGCTGCCCCATGGTGCCCCACCCTGGAAGCAGTTAGCAGCCTGTTAGCACTCACCTCCCACTGCATGTGAGGCGGGATGTTCCTGATCTGTAGCTTACAGCTCCTGGAGAGAGAACAAGGGAGAAAGAGGGTGGGGGATTGATAAAGAGGATGAGAAAAGGGGAAATTGATGAAGGTAGATGGGGAGAGAAGAAGGAAGAAAGTGTTAGTAACCAACATTACGAAGACAGTTATACAAAATGCGGGATATTGACCAAAACAAAGCACATCTAAAAATCCCTCCACCACATAATGAGACAGAGCAGTGTGGCCAAGTTACAAATCCGATTTCTGCTTTAATTCAATTCCCAGCTCAGCAGGTGCATCAAAACACCCTAGGTTAAAATTATGGAAGAAATCGCTTGCAGAGACATCATTTGGGATCACCACCGGTTGGGCCTAAAGTTGAGATTACTTAAAATTAAGCTAAATAACCCACCACACCCTTTCTCCCAAGTCACCAACTGTGTCACTGAGTGACCAGAATGACAGGGAAGGGAAACATGATGGCGAAATGGCAGAAAGGAGAAATAAGAGGCATCAGGTAGAGCGCAGGGGGTGGGGGCAAGAGATACATTATCTGAACGCCTTGTCCACACAAATGAGCCCTGTAGCATTGCATCATGAGCCACTGCAACACTCAAATCCACTAACAAAACCATACTCATCCAGTTATTAAAAAGGGAGAAGGGGGAGTTAGTGGTGTATGGGTGTCCCAAACAGAAACCAAAGTCACATCACACACACTGAACGTCAGTGTACATATAGCAAAAACAAGGAGACTAGCAGCTACAGGGCTGCTGTGTGCTCTGTGACTAAAAACCCCAGTTCATCATTTTAGAATACTGCCAATTTAATTACAGTGTGTAAAGCAACAGGAATATAGTGGCAATCTATGGTGTTCATGCATACAATAGAACTCATGGATCAATCAGTTGCAAAGCTTCAAGTGTCCTTCTGCCTGCATTAAAATTAAGTCTAGACCACTACCAAGACCATGTGACATACACAAACCTAATGGAGCAATACATACATATGGCTGGAAGCTGATGCACACACAGGCACATGACATAAAATTTAAACTGACCTCCAACCTACTTCCACAACAGCCTTACACTCATTCAGCATGATACATGTGCAGCTCATGCAAGTTAACTTGTGTGTAAAATATTGAGGTAAATAGTTAAGACATGCATCTTGTTCTTTTCCAAGCTTCACTGATCTGTTAAATGATGTCTAAATTCAGCTCATCTACTCATACAAACCGCTGCACTGCTAAGTTTTTTTTTTAATCTATGTAGAAGAATCACTTTACAACATTGCAGCATTTATAAACTCAGTTTACCACATGAAGTCAAGTTTTAAAAAGTGAGATGAAACATTAAAAATTCAACATCACAGACTGGGCTACAGTATTTGAATTGCTCAGGTTATCCACTAATACAAATCAACTATCCATTTTATTTGTCATTCAGAAACTACTTTACTTTAAACTAGGCAAATTGTAAAGAAAATAAATAAATAAAATGGTTCCGGAGTAATTCCAACCCTTTGACCACTGTGCCAATCCTGGTTGATCAAGCCCCCTCTCCCCACACTATATGCTCTGCATTGCGGTGGGAACACCAAATGTGCAAAGCACCAAGCACTTCCAGCCAAATTAATCTATAGCGCCACACAGAAGTAGTCAGCATATTGGGTGGGGGTAGTATACATTCCCTAGTCCCAGCCTTTGATGGGGGGGTGGGGGGGTTAGTCCTGTTCGAGGCAAGGGTAACAAGGGCCCTCTCTGCCCTATGGGGGTAGGGCCCTGTTGCCATGGACACTGACAGGAACATGGAGAGTGGGGGTTAAACATGGGAGGAGGAGGAAGAGGCCAGGAGTGACTGGGGTTCGCTTGTCCTGTGATGGCCAGGCTCCTTATTTACTTTTAAAAAAAGACTACACGTTCACCCCCTTCCTTCATCACCCAGCTTGGGCATATTTCATGGAAACTGTACACAGTATGCAAGCATGCACATGAATCCATAGAACCACAAAAGGATTCAAGCCCCATGACGCTACACCACACCTGTATTCATTCATTTCTTTTCTTCATCGTCCAACCACATTGAAGCACTCTACAACACTAACAGGGACTCACCCAGCAAAACACGAGATCTGTGCTCAACGCCCATCCACAGCCATTGACTATTCAGAGGTTCTGAATGACTGAACTCCACAGTCTGGTTTCCGCTGCCCTCTCACAGGCCTTATATGCATCCAACACTTGCCCTAGAGAGACTAGTTTGGGAATTCCTTCAATTCCAATGAGCTGAATATCAGCAGTTAGATATGACTCACTTTCTGCAGGAAGTATTACATACAGATATTTATCATGCCCACACACACACACACAAAATAATTCTTATAAATATTTGAGAAAGCAAATGTCTCATTATTGCAGCCCAAAAGCAGAAGAGTTGAAGGAAGCTTTGCTTGCAGTCTGGGTAAAACAAGGAGTTGGATTCATAACTCTCCATCCCAATGCACCACAGTGACCGTGTGACCCGGAATTCTTGTAATAAGAGCAAGCAGCCATTTCTACAAACAACCCAGATACCATCTACACCATTGTCCTAATTTACAGATTTTAATGCTCAATTAAAAAAAAGCCACTATAAGAACAGAAGGCAAAATAGCTGAAACTCAACACCCCTCAGCGAGAACAGTTGCAAGACTTTTTTTTTTTTTTTAAATTAAAGTAGTACATCTTCGAACCAAGTGTGTTTAACGTCTACTTCCCTCTCGCTCTCGCATGCACTTTTGGGGCCACCCCATCTCTTTCTTCCTGTGCATGTGACTACACGGGTATGTATGAATGGGGATGGGCAAGCAACACTGATTTGTTGAATTTATCCAACAAGCAAAGCTTCATCTGACCCAGGAAGCTCACAATAATGACACCACTACAACTCAGTATATCTTCTAATTATGGATTCAATTAAATATTTTGAGTGAAATTTAAAGACTGCTCAATTAACCATTGGCAAAACATTTTTCAGTGACCCAGGTAAACTAATGAACAATTCAACAGACTTTGGTAAAAATCTAGACAAAAATTAATATAGTCAATTGTGGAAAACCGTTAACTGAAATGTAGATACAATATTCTACTGAATAACTTACACACTTTCGCAAAATAAAAATTGTCAGAAGAATCATTTAAATGCCAAAATTTAAAAAAAAGTTTTCACAAGTCTTGCAAAACCAAAAGGTATACGTCAATAAGCAAGTTTTACCATCAGAAAGAACAATATATCAATGGAGAAGAGGTTTCCAATGAACAGAACTGTATTAATGTAGACAGTTTTCAGGAGTCACTACTGAACACAGCAGATGTTTTGCTAATGCAGCAAAGATAGTTTCAGTGGATCATTCAGAGGAATGTACAAAGTCTTGACTTTTTTTGTGGGGGTGTTAAATGTAAAACATCACACCCAATGTCCTGTCACATTACATAGTCCTATACTTTGATAAATGCCAAACTGCAGCCACCTTGATTCCTCTGCTCTAACCCTTCCCCCTTCCTGAGGGGTTCAAAGGTTAAGGCATGGTGAAGGTTCCCGGTATACAAGTGTCTATATATTCCATCTCAGAATCCCGGTCCCCACTGACTAGTAGTGCTATGTTCGTTGTTGTAAACGGAGGGCACGCTTTTATTTTCTGAAGCGTGGCTGAAACTCGACTCTGTTGCCACACACACACACACACACACACTGCACTGACAGAGCAACGTCACCACTTTTTGTGATCACCTTAATTTAGAGGAAGCTCTAAAGATTTGATGCAAAATTCCCATGCAACTCACCTTGGTTTATTTATCAGAGCTACAGTTAAGACCCACAGATTCCCTTTCAACAGGGGAGGCTTGGAAGAATTTCAAGAGGGCAATACATTATACGTTCATGTTAAAATGTCCTTCTTGCTCCGTTTCCATATACAACCACTTTCTAAAATTGGTTTAAGCCCCATACAATAGTTTAAAAGCAGATGCGCTTTTAAACGAGGCTTGTTACTTTGCGTCAAACAGCAGGTCACAAACTTTTAAGGCAAAAGCATGCATATTACGTGTAATCTTACGAATCATCTTAAATAATTACGTCAGTTACCAAGCAAGATGCTTCTTAATTCAAAAATAATATTTATGACTGGATGGCGTCACCACCAAAATACGCACAATGCCAAAAAGCAACAGCATTTCACGTACTCAACACATAATATGTAAAGCACCAGAACACACACTTATAACATATACGCTTTCGTGTGCAGGGGTCCAACTCTGGAACTAAGGTTTTTCCGTTTCTTGGGCCCCAAACCTCCCATTACACTCGCGTTTGGGAGTCCATCTCATGCAACAGCAGCAAAATGTGCAGAGGAGAGCGGAAGCGCAGGGCAGGCCGGGAGAATGACGGGCAGCTCATTCTCAAATGGACGACTCCACAAGGCCTGTACGCCTCAAATTCAGCCTGCACTCGCCACGCACACGTTTCAGCCAGCACAACCAGGGTTTACTTATCGCCCGGGGGTTGGAGCACAGATTATATCGAATACTTATGTATCCAGAAATACCAGTTGATTGGCATGCGACAGAATACAGTCATGAGCTGGTTAAACCTAAATGCACGATGGTTTTAGGAGCACCCCCACAAGTCATGGCGAGAGGAAGGAAAACACCACCATACGCCCCTTTCATTTGACCCCAGAGCAGTCAGGAAAAAAAAATGCACCCAATTTAATCAAAATGGAAACACTACCACTAAGTTAGCAATACTTAACAGTAACATAAATGCACATTTCCAGCACCGTCTCTTCTATGGCGTTTTGAAGAACACGACAATCAAGTAGTATACATTACAACTCGCCCTACCTTTGACGTTTGGGGACAGAGTGCTCCACTTCCAGAACTTTCCCATGGAGTTCAACTTTACCTAGAAAACAAAACATTTAATTCAGTGAATCATTTGAACTCCCAGACAGGCTTCCTGCCTTGCTTTGGAAGTGTATTTAGGGTTAGTGCACATTTTAAAGGAGTGTGGTCAAATCTGAACAGACATACGTAGATAGCGTCCTGGGTAGTTTCAGCACTGTGTAGCCTATATTAACACAGATTGCCTGAAGTGTGCGAGCCGTTAACAGCACAAGTAAACAACTGAGCCACACATTAGCTACATTTTACGAATTTGGCTAAACTGTTACATGTCCTTTACGACCAGGAGTAACCATAATTTAATAACAGACCATGGGAAGCAGTGAATAATATAAGCAAACGGCCGTATAGCATAGGTAGTTGGCGTACATTTGACCAACATAATTAAACCACCTGGAGTGTGAGCATGGGCTGAATGGCTTCACAATGTAGTGAGTTGTGGCCACTGGAGAAGACCTTCACTTTGAAACCAGGAGAAGAGTGCAAGTTCAAACTGAAACGGTTTATACCAGCAAGACACTACGGCCTGTGCTCCTCATCGTGCCAAAGTGGGTTGTGTGATAGGACCCACAATAAGGTTCACTTCACGGTGCTCACAGTTCTCTGTGTGCCACACTACCCTGAACGACATGCATTAGGAAAGCCCTGGTCTTCTCCTTCATCCCCATGATTGTGTTTACTCGACCATTTTATTAAGCTACACTCAGTGAAATTACAAATGCTGAATTTCACTCAACCCTGGGCAGCTAGTTCCCCGAGCCCACGGTGTCAAAAGGCCATGTAAAGGTTGGGTGAGAGAAAGAAATGCTTGGATACATCCCCACCCTACATGCATTTCTCAGGGGCCCGAGAAGTAAAGGCAGTCTTCGCACAATTGCAGCAATTCGTGCGTCTTTCCATTACACTACTTTTTTTGCCCGAAAAATTCTCACCTGAAAGAACATCGATGGCCTTCATTGCGGTCTTTTCGTCCGGGCAATCCACAAACGCATAGCCAGTTTTAACAAGAAATGGACCAGTGTGCGGAATCTTCCACTGCTCAAAGATAGTTTCGAAGTCCTCCTCGCTCGCCTCTGCGCTCACGTTGCCAATGTATAGCTTATTCATGTTCTACGCCGAAAAGGGACAAGCTTTACGCTGAGGGAGATAGTTATTTGCTCTCACGGATGTGCAGTGTTTGAAGTAGCTTAAATCGCCTTTACTGCTACGGAGTGGCTGTGGCGTGCTTCCCGGTAGTTCAAGCCACAGATAGATTTAAACTGGCAGCCTCGCAGTGCGTTTGCGCTCCCTCGCCCCTCTGTCTCTATCGCGCAATAAATAAACGCTCAATTATTAATCTCGTGTCTCCAAACGATGGCGGGCTGGGCAAAAAGGAGGAGAAACTACTTTGTGTCTTCCTCCAAACCCCTTGGCAAAGAGACAGAGAATGTCACACACGGTAAGGCTGGCGCCCGCCTCTAAATCAACAACCTAGAATATGAAGAAGAAGGGGGAGAAAAAAAAATCCTCTCCTATTCCGGCTTTTTTGAATGAGCCACGTGTTCAAACTACAAATCAGCCCACACGTGAGGAATACCAATTGCTCAATTAAGTGTTTGGGATTGGGGAAAATTGCACGGGAATCAGGGGTGGGGACAGCAGAGGGGAGTGGAGAGAAAAGGAGAGGATTGGTGCTGGGAAAAAACCTGGCCAGCTATGTGCGTAAAGGGATTCCGTGAGAACCTACTGTATCTTTACTAGAATCACATTCGTGTGCCTTTCTCTGTAAAACCTCGGTTCTCATTGGTTGGTTGAGGAATAGTAAAACGGCAGTGCGCTCACACACGCCCATAGCGGGGAGCCGCTGATATTGCGGGGGCTCGTGCGCACGGCAGTGTTAAGTGCGCTGTACTGATGACATAGGAGGAAAATGGGGTGGAGTCATTTATAAACTACGTCGCATTTTATTGATAAATTCTATAGTGATCATATTTAAACTGAAGATTGTTGAATGGGGTGCACTGTAGCGCTCCTTGGGCCCTCGCGCAATACGGGAATGACACGTACTACTATCCACATGACGGCATCCATCTTCTCCAAATACAGTGGAGCCATGCCCTGCCTGATCCACAACTCAAAGTCCAACAGCAGGCCCGACTTGCCCCGCAGTCACACACAATAATACTGAGGGGGTGTCTCCAGGCGAGATGAATGCTGCTGCACTACTTGTTTTTTCCAACTTTCATACCATTTGGTACAATGAAGAAGCGTTGTCCATGTGGACCGAGTGCACATGGCGAAGCCTCTCTGCTATACCGCCACCTTGGATTAGCATTTACTGAAAGAGGGAGGGGTCTCCTACAGCAAAGTGCTTCCAGCGTCCTAACACACAGCCCAAATGAATCACATAAGGAGTACATGTCTAAAATATTACTCAACTGTCAGTGACATCTTTTGTAAATCATAGGCCGAGGCCGATCGTGTACGGGTGGCTCAGTGTAGAGCATAATCCTGTTTACCGGACTAATGGGTGGTTGAATCCATACCTGTTGATGGCACAGACGTCGACAGAGCATTATGTACATGTTCAGATTTTTGAAAACCAAAGGCCCAAAAGCAGAAATTCAGAGACAAGGTCATGTCTATAGAAGGAACCAATCTGACAATAAAATGTAAAGAATAAAAGCCAAGCATAAACTAAAATGCTGGTATAAGTCTTGGTGAAACTGAAGTACATTTTATGGTATCTATCTGTCTGTCTGTCTGTCTGCCTGTCTACCTATCTATATCTCAAAATGAGAATCTTTATTGGCCAGACATGTTAGAGGCATGAATTTGACTCTGGTGCAGTAGCTCTCAGTGTGTATGTACAGTGACATATAAACTAGATAAGACAGAAAAAAGAATGTGCATTGGGAAAATAAAAATAAAGTATTTATACATATATAAATATGTCCATATACTATATATACAGTATATATATAAGTGTTAAAAATTAGGGGTTAGGTGTTCATCAGTGTGATGGCACAGGGGAAGAAACTGTCCTTGTGTCTGGTTGTTTTGCTGTACAGTGACCCATAGCACCGTCTATCTATATAACACGTGCTATGTTTTACTGATGGTACTGGGATTTAAGATGAACTTTGAAATGTAACATTATTCATTACAGACAGATGTCCTCAGTTGCCACTTCATTATGTACACCTACTGTAGCTAAAAACAATGTAGTCAAATACAACGATCCTGCAATGAATTCTACCTTCTTAAAGGTTTTTGATGAAAACATTTTATCTGTTGAACTGTATTGTGCTCTACTGAGTAGGGTTTTGAATATTTAGTCTGCCCTTACTGATATAAATAGAAACACTTCTCAGTATAACATGGTATAATTGTACTGTAACTGTAGCTGCCAAAAGCACCATGAAGCTGAATCAATACCTTTCAATAGTTTTAACAAAAACAAAACAGTTGAAACGTCACAAAGGTGCTGCTTATTGCAGGATTGTTGGGTAGTTTCAGTATTGTATAGTAGCATAGTTTAATTTTAGTATGTAGTATAGTATAGCAGTAAAGTCCAGAGTGCAGTTTCAATGCTAGTAGCATAGTTTAATTTTAGTATGTGGTATAGTATAGCAATAAAGTCTAAAACCTTCAGACTGTTTAGGCTACATAAGGGTTTATGTGTGCTCAATACACCACACATGTGAAGGTATAATTTGAAATATGGTTAGAGTGTAATGTTTCACACAGATTTAGGATCATGTGTGGGCATGTAGGTATCATTTAATTCCTATCATTATGTTATATGACTTGTTATAAGTGGCAAATTAAAGGTTTAGTATTACTTGTAGCCAGTAAGTAAAATGTAAGCCATAAAAAAGTTACATAATAGCATCATTTAAGTTTCCTCTTCCTTCATTGCAAATTAGGTAGCCTATATTTGCTATGTCATTTTGATGAGTGAGTATAATTGTATTTCACCAAGAATGTGCAAAAGTGAGCTTAGGTTGGTGTAACCTCTAGTGTAGCCCCACAAATGCCAATGCAAAGAGCTATGCTTGGAGCTGAAATGATAGCATTGTGTCCTCTGCAGTGTTTGCGAATGAATGGACATGTCCATGTAAAGCAGGTTTCAAACAGACTGTTGGTTCAGTGGGCCCTTCAGCCACTGGCTCAGGGTAGGGCCATGGTTGTTTCAGTGGGGTTACTCCTCTGCTGCTGAACAAACACACACAGCTCTCTGGTTGGTCGGGAAGGCTGTCCAATCAGAGGGCAGCAGACGTGCTCTGTACTACTGCTGCTGGCTCGGCCTCAACGCGCTCTTTCATTGGCTCTGCCACTCGCCTATTCTGTATGAATCAGCGCGCCAAATACGCATTTCTCCTATGGTCCCTCTTTTGGGCTTTGCCATAAGCCATAAAGATGGAAGGAAACATGAACCAGAAGCTGAATCTTTTTTTTAGAAATGTTACCTTTTCAGGATGTTTAGCGTGTGTTTATATTTACATAGCACTCTTAGAAATAGATTAGATGAAAAGAGAAGGAGTGTTTAAAATCACTTTTAGTCCACTTTTTACTAACTTTGAATTGTTCTATAATTTGTTTCAAATTTCAACTCCTACAGAGTTTCTTAATAACTTTTTACGCAGTGGATGGATCCATATTTTCCTTTTCTATGAACTTGTATAAGGAAGTGATTAAACCTGAGCGCTTTCCTTTGCCCTAGTTGGGCTCATACATTTTTTATATCTTGGTTTACTTGGCTTGAATGGTTCCTACCACAAATGAAATAACGAAAAGCACATAAGCGAAAGTGCGGTGCCTGCTGGGTAGTGCCTTAAATATTGTAGATTTTTTGAATGAACGTATAGAAACAGCAGTCATGAGTGCTCGTAATGGTTCTGTCGGCTTAACTGAACGCATGGCTGCAGCCTGTCTGTGTGCGTCTGCGTGGGTCTGTGTGTGTGTGGCTGCAGGCTCTGCAGGAGGAGTAGTGAATGTATCGCTGAGGAATGTACAGAAAGTCTCCCCGCCCCCAGTCTCAGAGCTCCTCGCTATGGACAAATTCCATAGGGGGAAACTGACTTAAAGTTTGAGACGCATCATATGTGGGAAGATTTCTGCGGATAATGTCAGTGGAGGAAAGGACTGGACAAAATCGATCTGGTTAAACATAGTCTGGGATATATCTAGAGAGGAAGAGAAGGAGAGAAGAGGGAAGGTAGACTGTATAAGTTAAACGCAGCTTATAGCCCAACTTTGAGCTGATGGTCTCACTCCAAGATGCAGATAGTTTACGTCGCCAAGGGCAAGGCATTTTTACTAACCCTTTTTAGGCTACACTGATTCAAGGGATTCTGTTTCCGGTGAGGTCGCTTTATTTCTTTTATTGGCTGTTTGGCGATTCAGATTTTTACCAATGTTTTCTTTCTACTTGAGGTTTAACCATTACACCCACTGGTTGACCGCTTTGGACGTGAGTCAGGGAACACTATGACGAACGCCATGTTAAAGAGACTCTAGAACCTCAATAACTAATGGAAACAGTGTCTTTAGGCTATAGTTGATAGTGCAACGCTTATTTGGTCTACACATATGTTTTCTATTACTCTCGAGTGCTTTCATATAGGCTCCAAAACAAAAATGAGAATGTTTTCAGCCCCCCCAGATTCTCCTATGGAATGAAACCCTTCATCTCATTAGAAAATGGCGGTGTGTGCGCCCTCAAAACACATGCCAGGGAACATGCCTTTTTTTTTTACAGTAAATAACGAGATAATGTTTACTGGCAGAATATTGAAGAGCTAAATAAATTATAGCTATTATCTTTTATTTTTACTTTCAAAGAAACTGTCATTTTTCTTGATTTCTCGTCACTTACATTCATTTCCTTGAAATTAGTGAGGAAATGTTTTCTCAGTCTAGGTCTATCAGTAATAGAAAACATTGTTTAATTGTTAAGATACTTTACAAGGAAATAATTTGTCCCCTGTTTGGTTGAAAACAGCTTAAAAGGCAGTTAATAGTAGCCTAATGTATACCATCATGGTTTTGTTATACAAACTACTGTTGTTATACAACTATTTCTATATTTTTAATGAACTATTTGTTTAACTGCAGGTGATCTGAATCTGTGCAGACTGCACTTAAAAGAAATAGCTTGTTTTTATTTGTCATAATTCCAACTAAAATATATTTTTGTAATAAACATCTGCTGATTTTTGTATTTTTTGTGATGCATTTCCATTGCTCTGGAGCATTTGTTTAAATTAACACCACATGTTCTTGCAATACATAAGTCTGACGAAAATGGGTGTTTTCACAGAGTTACATGAATACCTTCAGACTTTGTCACACATTGCAGTTACGCTGAATGACTATGCTTTGTCTCTTATGTAGGAAAACATCCCTTCTAGCTGCTGTTGTTCACTTGTTTCAGCACCTTGATTGATTAGTTAAACTGTGAGACTGATTTCTCTCAATAGCTCCAAAACAATACGTTTCTTTAATATAATTTCTTCTTAAAGAGAGAAACATAAATTGTTGTGCATCAAGTTTTCACAATTACTTTAGATTATGTTTGTTGTTAAATAAAGTGCATGATTTGATTAACTTGGAATGAAATATGTAGTATATCTACTCAAGTGAAAAGGCTTCTTCCAATTCTTGTCAAAAATAAAGCTGTTATTTATGTATGTTAAAAATAACTTGAGGTAAAAGTGTTGGAGGTAGTCACCTGTCAACCTGATGCTTTTGGTAATTAACTTCTTAAAGAAATACAAATTATTCAATGTGGATTTAACAGGGTTTTTGAACCAGCAACCAAGTGCTATGACAGGGCCAACCAAGATTTTTTGTTGTGTTGCCACTTGTGTTGAGATGTAGGCAAAACATTGATCGCAAGTTTTACGCAGTTTTTAAATTGCTAATAAAATCTTTATGTTCAGGCAATTTAGTTCAAAGTCACAAAGTAATAATAAAAACACATTTATGGCATAGTAAAGAACTGTTTATTTGGGTTTGGGATCATTTCATTTAGATATAAAGCCAAATGCATTTAACCTCCAAAAATGTCATTTTAAGAAAACATCTTACACTCACTAAGAACTTTAGATGCACCCAAACTAAAATGATTTCAAAAAAGGGTCAGATGCTATTTCTTCTGGACCCTCTGTATCATCAGAAACTCAGCTATCCCGTGTTTAAACCATATACATAAACATGGTGCTGCCTGCTAACTTTCAGACATTGTCCTGTACCTTAAGAGTGTATCCTCCCAGTTTCATTCCGATTACATATATATTATATCAGAGCTACAGGTTGCACCTGGTGTAGACCTTGGGTGTGTTCATCTGTTATCGAACACTGGCCTCTACAGTAAATCTTTATAATAAAGTTTATGGAAAACTGAGAAAAGATGGTATATTTTATCTAGTCACAGATTTGCTCCACGGTGCAAGAATGATTTGGCTCATCTTTTTCATCAAGTAGAATGTGCAAACTGCTTCCTCCATGCAAAGAGTTTAAATACTCATATCTTGTCCTTTCTCTAAACCAAAAACTAATGTACTTGTATCTTTCTTCTGAATGTTTGAGCCCAAGTTCTGCAGGTGAGTTATTGCTACATGGAATGCCACTATTATTAAAAAAAAAACCATTCTCTCCCATGCGGGTCAACCTATTGGCACATGGCCCGCCTTTACACATCACGGTGCAACTTCCGGGAATAGAAATAAATGAACACAAACTCACATCTAATCATAAAATCAAGTATTTTAACATTTTCTTTAATCTGTGCACCTGATCTTTGCAATGAAAATGCACTTCAAAGAATAATATTTTATCATTTCTTTACCCAAATCTATACTGGCTAAGGTACAGGAATGAGTGCTGGTGATTAAAGTTCACTTAATGTAAAAATCAAAGGTGACATATAAGTGGCATGTCTGTATACCACAGGCATGCCACTATAGAGCACAGTGTTGTCTTTATTGGAAGAGACCTCATACTTTGACCCTTGTATTCTTCCAGCTAATGGTTACATTGGAACCTTAAGAATCATCTTTGAGTCAGTATGAATGAATGCACAATTCTGAGGGGCCCAATGACATGTCAGCAATTATTACTGATTCCATTTGAATGAAGTTCCTTATGGGTAGGGCTGAGGTCTACAGACAAAAAGTCCTCCATTCCTTCACGTTTACTGGTGTGATTAGCCACTCAGTTCCTTGCTTGCACCACTGTGTCAGATATCTATACCTATCTCTCTCTCTGGGACAAAAACTGACTATTGATGCAATCCGCAAAGTTTTGTCTAATGCAAGAATATCACTTCTGTTACACAGAACAAACAGCTGTGTTCTGTCACTTTTTCATAATGTAAAAGCAAACATATGATGAATTTAGTATTGGAGTACATCATAGTGCCATAAATATTACTGTAACATGCATTCAAAAATCATTTTGAGTAAAACAAGCTCTTGTTTTTCCTTTGAACACATATTGGGAATGCTTCTAAACCAGTTACAGAATACTCTGAAAGTTTGTTTTTGTTTGTGTTAAATGTGAATGTTGTATCGTAGGCAATGAAAAGTCATCAAATAAAAACTGGATAAATTCCTTTTTGAATGTTATCATTCATGTAGCCCAGAAAAAGAAGAAAACTGGACTCTGAGACTATATGGTGATTTCAAAGACTAGCTTCAGATCAACTACTTTAAATTAGTATCAACATAAACTTATCATGCACAACTACTTGGCACTGGTCTTGTTCTGTGAAATTCTGTCTTCCCACCTCACCCACTCAACTTACAGCTTAACTCCTAACTTTACAACCAAAGATCAACTTCAATTTCATGCACATCAAGTCAGAAAAACATACAAACTTTAGTTTTCATACATCTGTATTTCCATATAAAGAAATAATAAAAATACACAATAATAAAACTCAGCAGAAACTCAAAACAACTTCCTTGACATAAAAAATAAGAGTGAATGTGAGCAGAGAACCAACCATTGATCTCATAGTAACACTTCATTTGACAGCCTCATTTTACTTGCTACTTACCAGTAAACTCAGTGAGGTACCACTGACAATCATGTTATCTTTACTTACATACAGAATTAAGTGTCACCATTCTTTACTAAAACCCAGTTTTCATTCCTCGTCATTACAAGGACCAGATTAACAGTCTAATAATGGCATTAACAGAAAAAAGGTTTCACTGCTGCAGAAAATTAAGAGAAAGGAAAGACGCCTGTCTAAGAAAAAGGCAACAGTAATCAGCAGTTCTTTGCTCACAATGTGGATGCATCAAAAATTCCTAAAATTTTATACCTCTATTTGCATGTAAACAAGAACTGCCTCAAACCTATGAGCTGATATAGTCTGGCTAGTTCAAAATGTCTCCCCCTGAAAACATCTTGATGAATCAAACACCAATTATTGGAGAGAAGCTGAATGTTGAAGGAAACAGCTTAGTATCGTCCTGCAAAAAGAAAACAAAGTTCATATTAGTGCAGAAACAAGTTACTAAAATTGCTGCTGCTTTCACCTGTTTAAGGTTCATGAATGTGTTTCAAGATGCATCTTATAAGCAGTCTGATTTCATGTCAACAAAATTTCTGTTGTACGCATTTTCTCTTCGCACTTACGTGGGCTGTAGGAACGGGACCGTGAGCGAGACCTGTAGCGACTGTAGTAGGGTGATGGAGAGCGCCTGCGACTGCAAAAAGACAAGTTTCATACATTTTCTTCTATGTAACAGTACAACACCAACTGCACTCACAAATTATTACTCACCTATATCTATAGTCATAATCGTCATATCTGTCATAGCGGTCATAACTGCGCTCATAGTACGAGTCCCTCCCCCTCCTGCTGTTGTTGCCGCCGCCACCACCACCACCACCACCACCACCACCACCACCATTGCTGCTGAAATAAGAAAAACAAGGTGTCTCATGTCCTGTGAAACACAATCACATCAACACTGATAAGCTGTTGGAAATCAATGCGTTTCAAGAATGGCCACACAATTATATACAAAACTACACAAGTTAGCTCTGACATCAGAACAATACACCATCTTACTTCATTACTGTATGCTTCTTAGGGACCTCGCATGATGAATATTGAATACCACACAGGAAACTGATATGCAAGACTCGGCATTTGTGCTGTTCTTACTGGGTTGGTCGGCCCATGTAGATTCCTGGTGTTGGAGTATGGGGACGTTTGGTAATAGAATAATCTACTCGGATGCGCCTACCATCCAGCTCCATGCCGTTGGCTCGCTCCATTGCCTAGGAAATACAAAAAGGAGGACAAGACAAAGCTACTACCAGACTACTGTAAGATCTGTAAAAATTAAATTAACAAAGGTCAAGCTACATTATACACAGTAATGCCTTACTATGATATACAAAACTTCAAGGTGAGGGAATCTGTGACAAGGCAGACACCTAGTGGCATACTCGTATAATCACACTGAAATTAATAAAAAAAAAAAGGTTTGTCTGAAGTGGAAGACCATAGAACTTGCATGTACTACAACTATGAAAACAAAGTGCTGAACAATATGTAGGTGCTAGTGACTATATATGGATGTCAAACTTAAATGATATTCTAAAGTGAACAAATACAAAATGTGGCAAAGGGAAGCAATCAATGTTTGGACTACACTTAAGTGTCCAATACATGTCAGTATACTGTATTTATTCCCGTTTCAGGACCCAAAGTCATCTCTTTTTATTCTAGTCATGTAATCAAGGAATCTTATACCCGTGAGACCCCAGGTGAATGCAATTAACTAATCAAAAGACAGAAAACAAATGAGTCCAGGGACCAGGAGTCAACATTAGCCATTTGACCAATAAATAAAACATCTCTCATACCTCTTTGGAATCCTCAAGTCTCTCAAAGTAAACAAAGGCAAAGCCACGGGAGCGACCTGTGCGCTGGTCGTACACAACATTGACCCCAGCCAGAGGACCATAGCGAGAAAACACCTCCCTCAGGTCGCGCTCTGTGGTGTACAGGCTCAAACCAAACACCCCTAGACATGTGCTTGGGTCCGGGTTTGCCTGGAAGGGTCAACAATAAGGGTCAGAGTTGATCGTGGGACTCATCACATCTACCCTTCTAGTTATTTACATACAAAATCTTATTTACCGAATTTTCTATGCACAACATGCTTTGTTCTCAATAGTACAGACAGCACTACTGTTCAGCTTAGTAAGCTCATTAAGCAGCAGCCAAGGAACATGATTCTTGCACACAACAATATGTACCATGTTTACTGCAATGGGGGCACAGGTTGTAGATATCTTTCTATATCTTTTCACAACTCAAGCACAGAAAATGTAAAAATAAAAATCTCCTGAATTCATTCAGAATGTCCTTATTTACACACTGTATGCTTCTGATCAGTTTTTACTGTGGGGGAGAAAATACATGCCAACTACAGTGGATGCATTATGACTTCTGGCTTACAACTAAGGCAGTCACTGAACTACAACTAGAAGGCAAGTATCTATGCACAATTTTACGAGGCAGTACCAAAACCTCTCCCTCCAAGCATCTCCTGTTGTACCAGTCCAACAGTAAATGATTAGTGGGCAAACTATGCCAGCTTTAATAACCCCTTACAACTGCTTTCAAAAAGATACATACTGCAAAACCATTTCAATCGCCTTTTGCTTGATTTGAAAATCTAACTTAATTCCTGGTTTGCCATTGCTTTTAGAGGGGACATGGCTGTCTTGAAATATGACCGAACAGTAGTTAAACCAAAGATGCAAAATGTTCAATTTTGCTGATAAGGGTTTAAGCAAATTGGTCTGACAATGTTCTTATGTCTATTTTAATGATTGTGTTATTTTAGTGTTGTCTATTCATATTTTTTAAAAGATTGTTAGATACTAGAACGATAAAATATTTTATAGATCATTCACAAACATTCAATGAAAATGATTACACAGTGAGCCAACGTATGCCTTTAACTTGACCCAGAAACTGAACTGATAATGTTCATTAGAAATCTGTTATTTAGCTCGAGTAAACCAAGATAAGGTAAATATCGTCAATTACTGTTACTGGGTGTTACACTTAATCACCATCTCTCCTGGTCTCAGCATATCGATACTGAAAATCTGAAGAGCTATAGCGGTTGCTAGAAAGTGTTTGCGTTACTACATTAATTATGAAAAATGTTGTAAATTCATTAGTGCTATCTCACTTGGAGTACTGTTCAATCATGCTCTGCAGCAATCAAGCAAGGCCCAAACACTCAATTGGTTCAGAGTAAGGCAGCAAGATTAGTCTTAGGATGTCCATACTGTAACGGAATTATGGAAACGCATATTAGACTGCCCTGGTTCCCTGTAGATGTCAGACTTTGTTATGTTTACTTTTATTTATAAAGAAAGTAATGTTATCAGGTATAATATTCTTTCTCTGACCAACTGGAATTTCCAGATCAAATTCATAATTATTGGATGGAATTTTAGAGTACTGGTAATTAAATAATCCCCAGGGTTAAAAATTATTTTATCAAAAGTACAGTTACCTTTAGAGCATCCTCCACACGGAATAAATTACCACACAGAATCAGAAAATCGGCAAATATTCCTACTTTCACAAAACACCCTTCTGCATATAGATAGATACACAAACATTTTAAATGTCAGATTCTTGAGTTGATAACCTGCATCAGAAACATGGCCTTTTTATATAGAAATAAGCAACTTTCCTTTCAGCTGCAGAAAGAAGATTATTGAAGCAGTATTCCTCTCAGTTCAGGACTATGGGAAAATGATATACCAAACATGCTGCTGCTTCCACCTTGACACCCTTTGATTTATTACCAGATATAATTATAACACATTATTGCATTCTTTATATTAAAGCTGTCCCTCCTTGTCTGAGGGATGTCAGAAACATTGGTACATATTTATTTCCAAAGCCATTAGTGGAAAACTGCCTTCTTATGTTACATCCCATCTGCACTGGCATTACGGACGTTACGCAACTTGTTTTTGTGATTAAGTGACACTTCAGGTACTTAAGACCAGAACCGTCACGTAAAAATCTGCCACATCAGTTAAAAATGAAAACACACATCTATGTAATTTCAAGATAACTCAACAATGTTGTGTGTATATTGTCAACCTAACCCATAAATAAATAAAACTATTTGATTATTAATTTGTTCACTTTAATTCAGTAAGTGATCCAATGCACACTGCAGATGTCAAAATCTGTCAAATATGCCATAGTGATTACAAATCAGCCCCAATCTCTGAATATACAATTCATTTTTTATTTTCACTAGGTTACATTTATCCCTTTATCCATAGTACTACAGTGGGAACATCACCTTTGACCCAAACATTACATTACTCTTCCCAAAAATGTCAGAAAGTCAACATACCCTAACATCAGCATCACCACCATGACTGTATCCTTCTTTTGTGAAGTCATGGCTCTGTTGATATAATAAAAGGAGGGGAATGTTAATAAAAGGGGTTATTAAATGTCATGTCAAAGTGGTTTCCCACTGCATTAATCACAATCATTTGAAAAATGACTTAAATCCAGCCTAGTCAAGTTTTTTTTTTTTTATTTACAAGAAATTCATACATTTTCCCCACAACTTCCTTCTCAAAAAATAAATAAATAAAAATTCTCTTCTCAGAATGTTTTGAGCATAACTAATTGTGAATTTGATCCATCAATGCTCTTCATACCATGTATGCTCATGTCCTCACTAATTACAGGTTAAGCTGTGCAGAACGCCAATATTTCCAAAAATCTAAACAATATGCTCAAACGGTCAGTGTGTGTGTGAATATACACAAAGTGTCCTTTGGTTTAACTTGTATAGCCATATATTCCGATCTCAATACACTCACCCTGCTGCCAGTGTGGTGGCGCCGGTTCGACATAGGTGAAGTGCTATGGCTCCTCCTGCGCCGATCTTCAGGGCTGTAAGATTGAGAGCGGGACTTCCTCCGATGGGAATAGGAATGAGAGCGTGAATGGCTACAGCGTTGATTAGAGTGCCGCCTAGAACGAGATCTGAAACAAGCAGTAGAGAAAGGGAGTCATGGAATTTAATGAGACAAGGGACAAAGGGGGGGGGGGGGTATAATAATACAATATTGTCCTATCAGAAAGGAAATCACACGATTAAAACAACATACCTAGATTTTGACCGAGAGTGGGATCTGGACTCGGAGTGTTTGGAGGCTCGTGACTGGCTTGGGGAACCGGACCTGCTCTCTGACTTGACCCGAACTGGGCTCCCACGATCCGATTTAGATTGGGAGAGTGACCCCTATTGCCATAGCAACATGTTAGCAAATATCTCATGGACAAATTCATTTATTTACTTGCATAGAAACACAATCAAGCACATAATAGTGAGATGTGGTAGAGTATTTTGCACACAATAGACATGTCTAAAATCTTATGTACTGTGGAGGAAAGGGTTAGTAATCTTAGAATTTCCATAAATACATCATTGCTTTACAAGGTGACATATTATTAACCATATCTAACAAATGTATGTGACAGGTCTAGGCTATTTCCATGTCCACCTGGTCCATCAAGGGAAAAAGGTAACATGCATTTTTATGTAACAGAATGAGAGTATGGTAAAGAAAAGATATTTGTGACACAAATAGTATATTTACTTAACCTAGGGACACATTCATTCTTCCAGATTCGTTACATGCTACTCCCTTCTCTCAGGATTTCTATCCTTCTTCATTCTTCTTTTTTCAGTTTTCTCATTTTCTGATCCCAGGTCTGTTTTTCCTCTCTTCACCCAAATTGAAACCAGTTTCATTTTAGCCATTACAAGCGCTTCTATCTGACACCAATCTTCCGTCACATTTCCTCCCTGTCCACTTCTATGTTCTGCTCTGTACATGTTTTCATTAGCCTTCTTTTATCTTGAAAATTTTCTTCATCATTCTTGGATAAAACTCTTCATATCCTTCACGATCAATAACCTTAATGAAAAAAGAACATTTAATAAAAATTAAGATCATTGGTTTAAAACAAGGAAAATTTTCATAAAATTTTAAATGAAATGAAAAGGACACTGAATGCAGTACAATTACACTCTTGCTACGTTAACTTTTAATATAATAGAAATTGTGTAGGTTAAATCACCATTTTTAGAATTATTGAGGTTATATGTTACATAGATGGTTCATACTTAGTTTGCTACTTCGGAGTCTGAATGCAGAGAAGAAAGAGTGGCTTGGGACTAATATACATCTAATATAATGATATGCTAAAACAAGCGAAACAAAAACTATGAGTAGTAATGGCTGCACTAATTTCCGCATAAAAGGTAAAGGTAGTCATACAGTCATCTCAGACAAATTTTATTAACTTCAAATGTGAATGAGTGAGGTGCAATAACTCTAGCCGAAAATGCACAAACAAAACATTTTGCAAAGTCCATGGTGTTCTAACCCAGGTGACAGTAATAGCTAACACCAAGTAGCTTGTTAGGTAGTTGTCGGTGGAGAAGTGTTGCTTGTAGCTAACGTTAGCAGTCTTGCTAACAGAAACGTTAATATAAAAATAGCTACTTTCTATAACATTGGCTTAAGGCAAATGTAGAGCGCTTCTCTGCGTTTCTAACACGAGTGACACTAGTCAACAAAGCATGTAACATCGATGTTAAAAAAATCAATTTAGCATTAGCTCATATTTAAATTTACCAGTAACAAGGGAATTCGCCTAAGCTAACGTTACATTTGTGTTCTCTATTGGCAGCCACACCGACATACAAAAGGCAGAAACAAAGATATTTGTTAGAATTCGATGTAACTACTTACCCGTCTTTCATAGTTCTCATCCTCAATGTCACTCATTGTTCAGTATAGCAAATAATATCAAATAGCTTGACAGAAAGAAGCTGCTATGGCTTTACACAATAATTTTTACGGCTTGTTGTTCAGAGAAAGATGGCGCGCGAAGTGAGTGTTGTGTTTATATACTGCACTCTGACGTCATCTCCGGTCTCTTCTCAGATGCCTCTTCACATTAATGTAGATCTCATAACATCTTGTAGGTTTTCTCAAAGGTCCCCCGAAGGATATGCAGATATTTTAGGCAAAAAGTAGCAATACCCCGTGTTACCGCTTTTATGAATAGGTAATCCATATATGCCTCAATAACATGATACAGTAAAACCGCCAATGTAATAATCTGTAAATATAACCTTTGTACATCTTATGATTCGCTGTGGCGACCCCTAACGGGAGCAGCCGAAAGAAGAAGTACATACTTGTCTAAGGTCCACTTTCACATTGTATATATGTATACATTATATTGTTGACTTGCAAAAGCACATTGAGCGCCACTGTAGTGGAGGCCTATTGAATGGGTCTAGCACATGCCCAGGGGCCAGGTGCCACAGGCTCACCACCTTTAAAATACCTTAGAAAGATACACAAAATGATCAAAAGGGACATCTTACAACCATAAAGGGATGAAAAATCATCACAAAGAGAAAAAAACATCTACAATAAGATGCAAAGATCCTGAAGGGATGTAAAATGAACCAAAACAGCCACAAATTATTCAAAATGTGTTCAGATGCAAAACAACCACAAAGGGATGAAAGCTATTTACAAACGGATGCATAAAACACTAAATAAAAAACTACAAACCCATGTACAACAGGAAGACACACAAAACAACCACAAATAAACCCAAAAACTCAACATGAACACAAAACAATGCAAAACCAGAAAAAAGAAATACAAAATGTAATTAAAGACAAGCAGAATGACCACAGAGAGAGACAAAAGAATCACGGCTGCATGGTCTGATGTTTTGAGTCTTTGTTCAGAATGGCATCTTGCTTCTATGATTGCCTTTCATATTTATGTTCAGGGGCCTGTTCTGTCACAATCGGTCCATGATGTCAAGTACCTCAGTGTTTTGCAGCAGTGTCAGTAAAACTGAACAGAAAACCTATCTTGCCACATTAACTTATATTAAACATACACACACATACCTTAAAGTTCGTGGACGACACCGCAGTGATAGGACGCCTCACTGGCGGGGACAAAGCAGCCTATAGGAGGGAGGAGGACGGTCTGGTGGCATGGT